AGTTAATGGATCATCTAGCCATGCTTGTTTGTTTTGTCCAGCGATTTGTCGAGGGCAGACACGCCTCTTCTGGAACTTGGAGCAGTATCCAATCTCTGAAAGTGCCAATCTTGTTTCTATTCATCGAAACATCAAGTTAGCTCTTCACCGAGTGGGAGTTCATGGTTTCCTGGAAATCCTTGCTTATGGTGGTGTCAAACCCAACCGCGACGAACGTGACTTGTACGAGGCCTGTATTCATTACATGCCACCGTATAAAGGTGAATGAACTCCTATACTTAATCAATGTCTCTGTTCAGGTTATTACACTTTAATTAATCAATATCTCTGTTCTGATTCTTCAGGGGGTCAACTGTCGATTGCTGGTCAAATTTCTCTCGACATTGTTCGTTTCGCACAAGGATTGTATCCTCTAAGAACAGCTTTTGTGGTAATCTCAAAACATATCCCAGAAATTGAGGAGACGAAGAGGGTTCTTCGGTGTTTGCAAACGAGATATCAACACCCTGTTCTCATTGTAGACCCGACAGCACATGATGATGGTAGCTTTTTCCCCTTTGAGTCTGCAGACTCGGTGTATGCTCGTACACAATTTGTAGATGGAGGACAGTCTAGGCCACGGATTCCTCGTTCCCGTTAAGACCTCTCTCCATCTCTTGTTTGTTTAGAATTTCATCTGATCCATTCGAATAATAGTTAATGGTATCATCTATATAACCTTTGTAGAGCGTTGGAGAGAGGTCGAAGAGGCTGCGACAGGCGTCTTCTGGGATGCAAAGGATTGCCCATTCCCTGCTGGTTGGAGTGCTGATACCATCTATACGAAAATCAGATCAGCTTTTACTGAAGCGTATTGTGTTAGTGGTAACATGTCAATCTCTTCTTATGCTGATGAGATGAATAACGAGTCTTGGAACAAGCCGCCGGAATCGGAATCGGAATCCAGAATCAACCACTTAATTCTCGCAGGTGAATTCTCTTTCTTTCTCTTTTCTTATATATACATACGTATGTGATCTGTCTATGTATCATTTATGCAATCTGTCTATGTCTCTCATTTATTTTATTTTCCAGGGGATAAACCCGCGAGACTTGAGAGAATGTTTAATGACATGCTTTTATGGTTAATCCACAAATTCCTGATGATTAACTAATGATCTCTTGTGTACTTTCCATCTACATAGGTTAAAAAACTCTTCAATTAATCTTCACATTCCAGACCAAACACAAGAAGATTGACAAATAAATCGAAAAATCTAAAAACACTCATTGATCGAACCAAACCTTATTACTTCATTTCAATTCAATTTCGAAATCAGTCATCTTTAGCTCAAATTGCAACGGACCAGAGAGAAAGAGATTCTTACAGGGTCCTGAAGAACAGGTTTGGTGTCATCGATGGCTGGTCTGAAAGAAGGTTTCTGAGGTTTAACAGTTTTCTTCTCTTCGGATTGAAGAAAAATCGAGGCTTTCGTCGTCGCCGGAGTCTCTGTAGATTTCCCCATCCTTCTCTCTCTCTTTTTCTTCTCGCCGGAGACTCGAAATTGAGAAGATAGTCGTCAAGTTTGGAATGATTTCGCACGTGCAAAGAATTGGGCCTGTATTGGGCTTTCAGGGTTTTTTAATTTAAAAGCCCATTTTTTCAACTCGAGAGCTTTATATAAAAATTGATTGACTTGAGTCGCCGAATAAAATGCTCTTCCTTCTCTGATAAACCCTAATTCCTCTCAAAAACTTGAGAAGCAGAAAAAACATCTCTGAGGTACGATTTTCTTTTGTGAATCTTAATAGGCTTTGTTTTCTTTTATCTTCAGCTCTAAATGTTTAAGTTTCTTTCACAGGGATTAATTGAAATCAGACGACGATGTATCTTCAGTGCTATATCAACGAGAAGGGTGAGAAGGTTTACACCACTAAGGTACCTTTACTTTGCTCAATCTCGTCTCTTTTGTGTGATTTTCATTCGTTTGTGTAGTCTTGTTCTTGTGTTTATAGATTCGGAATCAAAATCTCTTCTTTTTTTTTGTTTTGTTAGAGATTGTAATCATTTGCGATAGTTCTGAGTAAAGTTACAGATTTTATAGTTTGTTTTACAAGATAGTTTCCTTAGAAGAGAGTAGTTTGATCTAAGTGTTAAACCCTTCTTAAGTTGAAAGTTATCTCAGATACATGAAGCTCTGTTTTTGTTAGTGATTGTAATAATTGGTCACATTTCTGAGGAAAGATACAAACTTTACAAGATATTTCTTCAGAAGAGAGTAGTTAGTTGTAAGTGTTATCAGTTTTGTTTGTTTAATCTTAAATTAACAGATATAAGTTRTGTTTCAGTCATCTTAATCTTACGCATATAGAACTTCTTTCGGATGTATTGATCTTTGTTCTGCTTGTTTAACCTTAATCTTAAGTTTTGTTTGTTAGTGAATGTTTTATTACTTATTTCGAACAGAATGTTTCAATCTCTACTTGCTCATCATCCGCTTATTTCGAACAGAATGTTTATGTCTTTTCGCTAATGAATATGTTATTATCGTGAGAGCTCTTCTTTCTGATTCTTCCCTCTTGGTTTTCTTGGAATTATGTGTTTGTTGATGTAGAGTCATGTTGTTTCGATGTTGACGTAATCCTGCATAATCGTGGATTCCAGCGGAGAGATATAGATTTATAAAGAATGGGAAGTTTTCGTTCTAACATGTTTTGATTTCTAAAAAGCGACTTTAATTCAAGATTAGTTATAAATCTTCTACAATCTGCACATATTACATCCGCCCGTAAAACCGTCGCCCCATCCAAGAAATATGTCTGAACCGGACTTGGCATGACTAACCACCCAAACCATTCATTCTTCAAGTAGAATGACCAATACCACTGTTCATTCTTCAAGTAGGACTTCGTCTTGATCATGTCTTCTACTACAGTTGTTGCCTGAAATAAAATATAAAAGGCATAGAGATATTAGAAAATCGAGCTTGTTCCGAATTTCTATAGAGATAGAGAGGAGGAAAGGTATCAAGGATCAAACCTCGCAACATGCCATGCTCATCTACAGTCTAGATGTGATCTCGATGGCCTTAAAGCTTCTTTAGGTAGTGCCACATCCATATCAAGCAAGTTCGTTTTAAGGAACATGGTTACGCGTTTCAAAGAAGCCACACAGCAGCCTTTTTAACCCACTACCTTAAAGATTTCTTCTTCTTTTGTTCTGCTCTGAGAAGCCAAAACCAAGTCCTCCCAGTTTATTCAGTGCACCGGCAAGATCATATCTGTGTAATGACACTTCATATTCAGAATTTAAGCCCTTCACCATGACTTTCAGAACCAGTTAAAATAACCTCATCTCAAGAACCACCATCTTCTAGCTTACTATATAACTGGCAGAGATGAGCACTGAGTCGTTAAGATGAGTAGAGGACGAAATGTTGGAATTCCATTTGAACCGATCAGACCTCTCTCTCTAACCAAATCTCTGTTTGTCACAAACTTGGAACAGATCTCCTCAAAATTGTATGGGGAAATAGATTATTCTTCTTGGTATCTTGTCAACCCAGAGTCTAAGTTTAACAACATTGGACATGTCAGCCACATTTTTGCCGGTGCTAGACTTAACAGATTTTAGGCTCTCTTCGGCTTTCCAAGATTCAGAGATTTCCTTCCCTTCCTCAGTTGCTGATGAATACGGATTACACTTACTCTCAGTGTGCTAGTTCGCAGAGTTTGGTATTCGGTGGGATCAAAGTAATAGCTTTACATTCCCGACAGAGAAGTTTTCTGGTGAAAAACTTTTGGACGTCCTGAATCACAGTCGCTAGAATCTCCACTTTGCGTTTATGTATATGAGGCGAATGCTTGGAATCCATTTTGCCATCCATGATTCACTGTTGCTCAGGACTTGCGGGTTGATAATAGAGTGGACTCGGAATCTCCTGTAAAGGAAAATAGGAAGCTTCTCTCATTTGCTGCTCCACATCTCCTTGGTTGGGTTGAATTACAAAATTAGATCAAAGTCTAGTGCTTGATTCCATTC